GTTGACAAGCCACAAACTCAGGACTATGAATCCAAAGACAAAAAATAAAGCGGCGGCAAGGTAGTCAGTATCAGTGGTGTAGTAAAGGATGTCAGTAAAGGTGTTTGAGCTCATGACCACGAAAACGAGTTGAAGGGAATGGGCTACATTGTCGAAGCTGATGGTTCCCCCATACGGGTTACTACCCTGTACACATAGAGAACCCTCAGGACACAGGTAGCCCTTCGCGGGACCAGAGCCAGGAGTTCCATCTGGCGTAACCCAGGGCTTTTCTGCGCCAGTCCCAAGTTCGTGGTATCCTCCACAGAATTGAATTTTATCAGGGGCGTCGTTCAGTGTGAAATTGTTCTGCCCATCAGGATCGATCCAGACGCAAGTCCGGCGCAAACTGGACTTAAAACTTTGGACGCCTACAATTGCAAACAAGAGCCAGAAAAAACTAATTAGAAAAGCTACATGGACTAGCAAAGGTGCAGCTTTCTTCAAACTTCGGAAAATCACCTAAATTCGAAAGTTAGCTTACATTCCGGATTACAATAGAGACACCTGGAGGAGATGAAAGGGGAAACCCACCGAGGTACCACTGGTGAGTCCCAAAAGTCTCAAAATTCGAAGGCAGCTGAGCATCCGAAAAACATAAAGATGATGTTGCGACTCAAACGATAGGTTCGACAGGACAAAAGATATCCAGTATGATACAACTGCAAGGAAATCAATCCGAGTAAAAGAATGGCGGAGGAAAGCGCGGCGAGCAAGTCGAAATCGTTGCAGAGAACCTGCGTCACCCGACGGGTCTGAAGCATTTTGCATCCCCGTGAACGACCTTAGAACTGATACTTGAGGATCGCTTGGGCCCGGGGGTTTTCTTGTGGAAAGCTGCCGCTGGGGCATCAAAAGATCCTTTCCTTTTGCAATTAAGGCTTTTCTTAAACCAAGCGATCGATCTAGAGTACTATACTCGCCGGGATTGAGAATAAGTCCGGATACTATTATCCTCGCCCCAATTTCGAGTGTATAGATGATGAAGAGAGCAAGAAACGCATAGTCGAAAGCAGGGGTGCCCCAATGACTACCTCGTTTACCTTTGTATACCGAAGATTCAATGGCTAGGAGTACCGTCTGGACGATGATGAGAACGAGTATTATCGGTTCCGTTGCAGGGTGGATTAAAATCTCCAACAAGGCTCGCCGTAGTTTACTTTGCGGACTAAATATACCCAGCGAGTTGCCCCGCAGTGGGTTTTCCTCAGTCTGATAGGCATCCAGATCTCGAATTTTGGAAAAAAGCGACGGCCTTTTTTCCGGTGGATATCCATCTTCCAAACCAGGGTTTGACATATCATGAGCATATTCTGTCATTGCGGGGAGCGAGGGCGGTGCCTCGAGGCGGGCTTGCTTGAGCGACGATTTGCGCCGAAGGGTCTGTTCAACAATCTCCGGTTCATTGCTTATGTTGACCACACGTTGCGACATCTTTCGCACCATCGAGCCAGCTCTTGATAATGCTGAATTTGGAGTAGCGGGCGATATTTGCCGTGACCGGCTGCGGTATGGCTGTAAACTGCGAGACCCGCTCCGCGACCTAGTATTCCCTTCTTCCAAATTCGGTAAATCATCCCCTAGATGCGACCCAGCCACCGTCGCACCCTCCACAAAGTGCACGCTACCACTCCGTCTGTCGTGTCGTTGGCCATGCGAAATAGAGGCACCATCCATGGGTTGCAGATATCTCTGGTCCGTGAGAGGGGTCGTGTCATTCTCCGGTGTATCGGTTGGGGGCATGTAGGTTTCTTCATCATTTGAAGTCTGCTGGTCCGCATAGGGGAAGCGAGTCAGATCATCTGAATCCCTCACATGAGCTTGGTAAGGGCGCTCCTGGCCGGGACTACGACTAGAGAACTGCAAAGGATCGAAGCTCAACCCAACGGACCCTATAGCTTCTTGAAAATTACGACTGGTCTCAGGGTCGATTGGCTCATCTTCCTCCGCGTGAGATGCCGGAGAATTGGGTCGCGGTCGTGGAGTCAAGCTGATATTCTGGAAATTTTCTATCCTACTCCGCTCGTGCGGGCTTGGGGAATCTTCCGCTATCCGTTCATATCTCCTCCCAATGCCAGTGCGACCAATAAATGAGAGTCTTCGCACTGGATATCCCTCGCGTCCCCCAGCGCCGCTACTGCTGGTTGGTTTATTGCATCGTCGCCCTGTTCCGTCTGGGTTTGCGGTATCCGGAGGTCTCGAGAGGTCTTGGAGCGGGATGGACTGATTAATCGGAGGGGGCCCGGTGTCGTAGTTCCCCATGTCATAGTGGTTGTTGTTTGGCGACGCCATCTCGGAAGGCGTTGGCTATCGAAGAGCACACATCTCAGTATGGAAAGGATGTAATAACATGGAGTCCACCCAAACCGTTCCGGCTCGGAACCAAAATATTGCCAACTGTATGTCACCACCGAGTTCTGCGCATGAATGGGCAGCGTCACAACTTCTTCTGTGCACAGATAATAAATAATGCCCGGCCGTTGGTGTCTAATGTTGAGGTGGGGTTTGAAGATGTCGTTTGGCGATTAATTAAGGTGGTAATAGAGATGAGGTGCTTTAGTGACCTACCTTCCGGTGAACAGGAGGTCGTTTTGGCTCAGAAATAACAATCCGATTGGATTCTGATCAAGCGAATCATTAACGTTGTTATGCTAATCTTCTGGGTTCGATGTTTATGAGCAGGAGAATGATGATGAGCATCGGGGGTTGTAGCAGAACACTTTGGAGCTCTGTAATTTAGAAACGGTTTTTTATACAGAGCTGAGCGATTTATTGCGAGCAAGGTAACAGATACGGTACTGATGGTACGGTAAGCATTATACAGCACGTGCACAGGCAGTATTGATCGTTTGAATCCTCTCCTAACGGACGGTTCTTTACCCCCCCAAGCTGGTAGTTATAGATGAGGCTGACGTGTCTCGCTCCTCAATCCTTTAAAAACTCGGCAAACCCCCCCAGCTTTGACTTTGTTTCTGAAAAGTGTCCGACTCACATCGAACAGTCACAGTCAAGTCCACAGGTTGCGAAAGATTGACAACACATGTTATTATCTGTAATTCACTACCCGTTGAGACCCAACAAAGTCCCTTAAGGTTGAATTGAATCCTTACAGTTCCATGGTTCTCACTTCCTCGTCTAAAACTATACCTGCTCGACAACATTATCCATTGAGCGTACACGGATTAGCCGTTGCCCCGAGCGACCTCCCTAATACGAGAGATTAACCATTCAACAGGTTATAGCTCGGCATGGACGTTTTTTGGTACTTTGATCCAAAAGAACACTGCATTAAGTGCTGAAATAAGCTCGATTTCAAAGATGAAAAAAAGATAAACTGTTATTTACATAAAGGTTTTATTTTTATATATTGAGAGAAATTCTATTACAATCTATGTTTAAAAAGTGAATTACTTTTTATTTTATTGTAAATGAAAATAATCATAAAGATCATTTTCAAAAGAGTATCTTATATTTATAAGAATGAAGTTTACTTGGTATAATTAAAATAAAAAATATTATAAAAAGAATAAATAATAATAATTATCAGTTATTTACTATCATTTTTATAAACATGTTTATAATATTTATTTTATTATGAATATTTAATATAAATAATAAAATTACAAAAAATATAATTAATTTACTTGTATTTTATTAATAAAAAATAGTAATTATATGATAAAATTCTCTAAGTAATAGTGATAATAGTGATATTTATATAATAATTTAAATAGAAAATTTATAAATATTAAAAAATGATTAAAATTACTCATTATATAAATTATTCAATATAAATTATTTATTTAAAAGTTTTATATTTTAAAATATTATAATCTTTTTCAATTAAAAAGTATATAAATATTAAAAAATTAATATTATTATATAATTATCAAAAATAATAATTATATTATATTTTAATTGAAGTTTTATTATCTTATAATAATAAATAAAAAATTATTTATTGATATGAAGAAATTTTATTATAATATATTTTATATAATAACTATTAAATAAATTATTATTTTATTTCTTATATTTATATACAATTAATGATTATGATAAATTATAAATATAAAGTTAAATAAATATATATATATATATATTAACTTTACAGAAGAAATTTGAAGTTAAAAAATATATTTATATAATAAAAAGTTTATATTAAAATTTTATAAAAAATATTTAAAAAGTAATTGATTTTAAAATTTATAATATGTAAATTTTAGTTTAAAAATAACTATATTAAAGTTATTAATCAAATATATTTGATAAAAGTAAAGTAATATAATTGATCTTTAAATATTTTTTTTTTTAGTTTTGAGATTCATCCTATAAAATTTAACTCTATAGTTTTTAATTTCTCATGTCAAGTATCATTTAATGACTGCGATAGCTATTTAAACATTATTATATAAATTATCATCTTAACTAATTAAATATTTATATTTAATTGATTGAATATAAATATTAGCAACATTTATACATATGATAAAATATTATTTATTTCATTTTTATTTCATTTTTTTAATAATAATAAGCAGTTGTTGATTAAGGTTTTCTATAACTAGTTAGTTAGTTAACTAACTAACTAGTTAAAGAAAATAAGTTGTTACTAATTACAATTAAAGTATATTTATATATATAGTATAATCTCGGTTTGCTGGCCGGCTTGCTCCGCTTGCCCCGTTTGCCCCGTTGCGGTCTAGCGCCCTCCCGATCCGGACTGGCGTCCCCCGTTCGGGTTTGGCCTCCCTCTTCACCGCGTCGGTTGGCGGTAACGTCGCGATCATCAAAGCTATCAAACACCTATATAAACCTTGTCTGGCTCCCTCTTTCTTACACGCTCATCTTTTATCTTTTTTCCCTTCTTTTACTTCCCCACCCTCAAAACCAGAACCCCCCCCCCTGGGGTCCCAATGGCCACCTCTCTCCCTTTCCTCTTTTCCACACGGCTTATTGGCTCACCAGCAACCGCTGATGGTGCTGGTGTCACCATCACGCTGCTCCTGGCCTGAGCCTGGAACTCCACGCCCTTCCATGCTGTGCTGTGCTGTTTCTGATCCCTTTTTCAACTGGTGGCCTGACAGGGTGAGCACCTGGCCTGGCGCTGGCTGCACTGTGGGACCAGGTTTTCCATCTGTTTCACTGCTTGTCCACATTTGTCCACATTCTCGCGAGAATAATGGGGGAAGGGAGAGAGATATCTCTATAGACATCCCTCACTTTACAGCCCTACACGCTTGTGCTGATTTCTGTTTTTGCCTTTCAATCACACAGCTGGATCAGGCCCAGGTGAGCTGGGCTGCTGTATCAGAAATTACTCAACTGAGAACAACACCCCCCCAACCCCATTTTTGCTGTGCGTTAACCCCCCCCGGGGATCAAACCGCGGCTTGTGATGAAAATGTCTTGCAGATCAGGATATCTGCCTGAAATTGTTGAGTACTGCTAGCCCCTCCATCCTCAGTTTGGGAAGGAACCACTGTTCAATCCTTCTCGCCTGGTCTGACAGCCAATGGCGAAAATGCCTCACTCTATGCATACATGGCATTCAGTGTGCATGCACCTCAGCGGGGTTCCCTGCATGTGGTAACCTCTGTTCTGGATCCCATCAGCTCAGCGAGTCAAGCAGGAACAATTAAGGGGGCTTTTCAATGTGAATGAGATTGCCCTGGAGCTGCACCTCCTTCCTCCTGTTTAAATCATTCCAGGTCTGGTGGTGGTGTGATGCTGCTTTGGCCCGCATCTCAGAGATCTTGTGATGTTTCATTTCTTCAGCTTCTCCGGAGAGACCTGGTGAATCCACAGGATAAGAGGGGTAGTTTCTGCAAAAGTGGCTTTCTGTCTAATAGTCAGCATTTGAAGTTCCTGCATGACCCAGCCGCTCTTGATCCCTGCAATGATGGATGATGCATGAAAGGATGCAGTGAGAGAAGACTGGGTCTTGTTGAGACCTGCACTCCCTATGGCAGTTTCTCCAGAGATGCATTCAAAATGCTCATATAATGTCAGCTGCATGGAGAATTCCATAAATGGAAACTTAATCATGCATGTGGATTGTCCGTCTCATGCTTTTCATGGTCTGCCTTGCCGTGGGGGTGATGACTGTATTACAGAGTTAACTCAATCTGTGGTGAACATCACTGTCCAGCTGACGTGGCCATGACAAGTAGATAGACTTCAGAATCACAATGGTGAGCTGTTGACAAGCCAATTTACTTTTTCTTTTTCCAAGGGCAAGAGTTGTTCCGCGTGAGCCGCATATGGAAACTGGAAATTGCTTGAGCGGGGCAAGGAGACAGGAGAAGAAAACAGAGAACTTCTTGGCTTCAACACTGCTGATTCATCCTTGCCACTCAAGTGTGATGTGATGCTATTTGCTTTGTCTGAGATAGCTGAAACTGGATCCTTAGCCCTCCTGATGAGGAGAATAATGTACATTGAGTATATAATGGGGACTCTGCTTTCCCAGTTGATTTGGATGTGAGAGGATGAACAATAAGAACTTTCAAATTTAACCCTCATCAGCTACAATTTCCCCTCCTACAAGCATGGCTGTAGATATGACTTCATCATCCTGTACGGGAGACACTTCCTTCCCCCCCCCCCACCCAAGCCTCTTCCCACCAAGCACTGTATTTCTGATCATTTTCCCAGGTCAGTTCCTCAACCCTCTGCACAATTCATCATACCTAAAACACTGTTTACCCACCCACTTCCCTGCCCCCCTCTTCCTTTCTGGAGGGATGCCCGCGATGGCTTTAAGCGCCAGATTGAGGTTTGAGTATTGAACACTCCGCTGAACAAGTTCAACACTGAGCTGGAGTGTCTGGAGGTCATGGAGGTGGTTGACATGAGCAGTCCTGATTCCTCTTACCAGGATGACGTGGAGCCTTTTTAACCCAAGTGTTGCTGGTGTGGCCCAAGGTAGGTGCACTTCATTTTTAATTAAAGATCTTCTGCTGATTGAAGATGTGATTTTTGTCTTCTCCAGGCTTACCTGCGCCAGTTCTCAAGCCCTGCAGGGAAGTCTCAAGCGGTAAACCCTCACGGAAGGCCAATCAATCTTCATTTCAGACAATCACTTCTCCTTTTTCCGATAACAATACTGCGCTGGCTGAGTGTGAATCAAAAGCCTCATGCTTACCACCTGGCTTGGTGGGTTTCTCTGACCAACACCTGTACAGTCTAGCGAAGTTACCAGGATCAGCAGGCAGCCAAGGTAAGTAGATTCGCATCTTCCTTTTGCTTGTTTCTGGAGCTCTGCTTCTGATAGCCTTCAAGGGAATGACCAATCCTTGTGGACTTGGAGAGCAATGGAGAGGATTCTCCAAATGATATCGAATCCAAGATTATTGGTCCTGCTGTGCTCACTTGGTGCCACAGGCAGAGGGATCGCGGATACATCTTCCAGCCCAGGAGCCAAATCAGAGCCTCGAATTCCTGCCAACCCTAGAGAGTGTTGACTGATGAGGCGGTGACAGGGGCGCGGCACAGGTGTTCAAGTTGAGATTCCTTTCCTACCAGATGCTCTCCAGGAGATGGAGAGGCGAGGTGACAGGAGTGACCCCAGCAATCACAGTGACTGCAGCAATGACAGCAACGACAACAACAAGGCGTATCAGGAAAGTGGTGATGATGACCATGACACTAGGTGGCCGCAGAAGCAGTGTAAGCCCTCAGCACGGTGGTCCTCCAAGCCTGCTGTCTCTTTCACAGTTTGCACAGGAGATCCTTCCCCGACCGCTGTGACAAACAATAAGGGGTCACAGAACCGGATGAAGAAGTACGGCAAGCTTCCGGCCAGTGATTCTCCCAGTGTGCCCGCTGCCCCCACTGGAACTGGATGATACGGCGACAAACTGCTCGGGTGACGACATACCGGTCTCCGGCTTTCTTTCGAGCCACTTGACCGGATCCAGAGTTGGTCTGTCCAGTCCCAGTCGAGAAAAACGGCTGTCTATCGTGGCCGGTCTGCGTGTGTCGTTTGCCTCAGGACGACGCGCTGCTGAAGGAACTCAAGGAGAAGGGTGAGCCATGGGGTGAGATCGCCAAGCGCTTCCCCCGGGCAGATCCAAGGCGACTCTGCAGGTGCGGTACTCCACCAAGCTGAAGGACCGCGCCCCATCAGCGCGGAAATCGAAGTTAGCTGATACCTAGAAAACGAGGCTGCCGCTGAGCGAGGATATCTCAACAGCGGGTACTACTACAGGTATCGGGTCGATGTGACTCGGAAGGTGTGGCTGGTCGAAAACTACTGGATTCCCGGATCCGCGCGCGAGTGCCAAGGCAATTCCGAAGTATTTTGTTGCATTGGGGTCCTACATGGCAGCCGCAGAACGATTTGATTACGGGCTGCAAAGGGATTCCATATAGAGTGGAAGGACGAGCAGCCTTCACTGACCACTCTGACTGTTTCAAGCAGAAAAGGAGATCGCGCAGGGACGGTGGACGCAAGATTGTAAAGTCAATTGGTTAGAATCTTCTTTTGTGTATCATGTTATACACCAATTTCGACTCTGATTTGTTCCGTACTTTGCCTGTCTTGTTTGCTTCGGTTCTCCTCGATTGATCTTGTTTGCTTGTCATATTTCATTCCGGTCCAGAAGCTCTATTGATATTGCCTATCACATTCCAGCCCAGGGTCTACCTTGCCTACAGCCAGAGTATGGCATTTTATTTGTTCATTTGCTTGTGTCTCATTTGTTTGCTCTTCCCCCTCATTTTTTTGGTCTCTCTGGCTTTGCTTTTCTTCGAATCATTTTAATCTGTATATGTTTTCTGGCCCTGGAGGGAGATATTGGTTCATGCCTTGCCCAACCGTGTGTGTGTTGGACCCTAATAGGGATCGGAACGAACTACATCCTTGTGGGCGCCATGCCCATGTGGTCCATCGGCCTTGTTTGCCTTTGCTTCCTGGCGGTGCTCATTGGATATAGTAGAGATGTTACATTTGGATGCTTGACTGCGAATGCTGATGATGTTATCGAATGAAAATGCTTCCTTGGAGACAACTTTGACTGTCTCATAGCATGGATCGATCGAGAAGAGGAGGGATTTGCAGGTACGAGCGAGATGCGTAAGGTCTTTTGTGTTCAAATAGCCCCCGCAATTTGTTGTTTCACTTCGATGGTTAGTTCGGTGATGTTGACCTGCATTTTTCAAATCATTCTTCTGAGACTCAAATAGCTCTGGAAGAAAGGAAAGAGACATGCTGCTGTAAAGTCTGTATATGTGAAAGGGGCCGGAACATTGTCTATAAGATAAGGCCGCACCCTTTTTTAAATAAGCCGTTAAGAAGCAATGAAAAGGAACAGAAATCACGGGCTGTCAGGATGTGGAAGCTCACTCCTTGATTCTTCTACCTCCCTGCATAGTGTTCCAGGTCATCAATAAGGCGCGCAGGTGCCAAACCTGCGCATGCATGTAATAGCACGCATGTTAACAAGGCAAAAGAGCTCAGGCTGACCTAAATAACAACATCTCCTCATATGCAGCGCAGGAGCAAAGAGCAACTTTCTTCATTGTGTGAAAGCCAGTGGTATCATTTGATTTTGGCGATTATTTCATCCTAATCCCGAGCTCTGTTTCTCCTTGACATTGTAGCACGTGATCTCCATCTTCCAAGCTTTAAGGAGACACATATATCTATCGACTTTGGCAGCATACATAACAACGATACATAATGACTTGGATGGGAACGTTCAGATCACGTACTCTTCAAATGAATGTACACATTGTGAATTTGAAGTGCGTGCCCCTGAAAGTCTTGCACACCATCTAGAACCTCTTTAAGTCGGGTGAGGGCAACGGAAGTGGCTATTTTGGATGTTGTCTTCGGAGATGATCGGGACGTGAAAAGGAATGGATGCGCCCGGAGAGCGGAAGGCAAGGCAGAGACATTGGGGAGCCTGGACACTGGGTCGGAAAGATGTCGGCGTCTATGATCTCGTCGAATATAAGGTCAATTCCAGAATAATCACCATTAATCTCCACCGCCATCACCATCCCCAATCCCCATCACCACCACTGTCCACCACCATCTCTGTAAGCGTGCTGACGTTAAGGATCTCCTTATCTAACTCCCTTGCTCGTTTGTTAATATTCTATGAAATCCACGGGTGGCAGCATTCCACGTACTGTAAATCCCCCCAGCCCCATGTAATTATGGCGCCAAAAGCGGCTACGTGCACAATTTCGCCGCTGAATAACTACTGTACACCACGTGATCATCGTTTCGTCTTGCCTAAAGGGTTTGCTTTCGATGAATGATCAATAGCTGTCTGGGGGAGAGCTAAACATAGGTGGCGCCCGGCCTTCATATGGGTATGTACCACTGGGATGCCAACTTGCAGATGGGCCTCATCCACAACTAAGAATGCAGCCCACGACCCAGCAATCATGGCAGCGCTCGGTTCTGAATGTAGAGAATCTCAATTATACTATCCAGAACTAAGAGGAAGGTGGAGAACCGTCCATGAAAGAGGTAAAAAACGAACAATCAACCCGAAAACTTCTAAAGAAAAAATTGGGCCACAAATGAATGACCAGATGGGCTCGCAATGTACCAAGGGGTATTACTGGAGTTAGAAGGTGTCCCGTGCTATGCGACATTGTCCTCAAACACGCTCGCGATTCGTTGGAGCTCTTTGCTGAAACAAGTCTTCATCAGTCTCCTCTTCTCTCTGGCTGAGTTAGCAGACACGTCTGACAGAGCACCCCGTATAATCGCTCGTTCAAAATCAACTATCATCACACGTTGGCAGGTCGGGTTCCAAAGTATATTTCGCGGCTCCGCGTCGCCATGGAGAACTCCTTTTGAGTGGATGGCTTGGAGGGCACAGTGTACCATGGAGAACACATCTGCGGTATGGCCGAGTGTGCTAGCTTTTTGGATTGCTTCTCCCGCCCAGCTCAAAAATAACATGTGCGTGTAGATTCCGCCATCATAGTAATAGGGATACTTCAACGCCAGTTGGACGACACCCAAACAAACTGGAATACATTCGCCCTGGAGATCTCGGAGCTCATCGTAGATCTTCTTTTCATATTTGAGCTTATGCACATGCTTGTATTCCACACCCTTAGCGACCACAGTGTATCCATGCGATGAGAGCCGGACTTTGAACAGTGCTCCACAACTACCTGCCTTGTAGAGAGGACGGCAGTCAGCGTCTGGGCCACGATCCGTGGCAAGCTGCTTCCGGATACCAGCACGGAAGCCATGTATCTGGATCCGGCCCTTCTGGTGATCCTGGTAGTTGGGGCACAATGGATCAAGAGGGCTACCATCCCTGAGCGCAAGGAGACATTGCTGGGAGCAGTATGGGTGGGTCTTGATGGCCGGTGTTTCAATGACATTGGACGTCCGCTGGGTGCCACTGACTTCCCCGCGTCCTGGCGCGCCTCGCGACTTTGCAGCTGACCCAGACCCTCCCCTTTGTGTTCGACCACGAATGCCAAATTGCGACGGTGTAAGAGGAGGAGATGGAGGAGGAGACGGTGAGTGGGAGCTCATCGATCGGCGTTTGTCTTCAGAGGGCCGGCATCCGTATCGCAGCGTCATCCCGAAGGGAGGAAGGTTACGGGGTCGTCTGCCACGGTACAGAGGGGATGCATGTTTTGGGCGAGCAGTGGGTGGAGTCTGCTCCAGTATTTCAGAATACTCCACTGGCCAAACATCAAGCCTCCCAGCAGCATCATGCCACTCCTGGGATACTGCTGGTGAGGTCAATGCTCTGATTGTGAACGCCAAAACCTGCGCGGTGGCTGTCAACCGTAGCTCATCCTCACCAGTCGCCTTGACATCCAGTTCTGGTCTGCAAAGCGCACACTGAACTGAAGATGGATCATCTGGGATGTAAACAAAGATGAAGGCTTCTCCAGTGCATACGTAGCCGTAACGCACCCCTTTGCGGACCATGTAAGAGAAAAGCTGAGTTGTGACTGCAGCAACGAGCCGCCTACAGCAGAATTCAACATCATCGGAGTCCTGACCAATAACATCCTGGGCGGGACGGATCTCTTTGGTCAGCCCTGTGGCCATGTCAGCCTGCGTGAGTTTGTGAGGCGCTTTATATTCGATGGCGATCGCAGGGATGTGTTCATCACCCTCCTGTCGGTAGATACAGAATCGATCTGCCTGCCCTCCTGTACCTGAATTAGGCTCCTCCTTTCTCTTCTGACTTTTGCCTATACCTTTGGTTGATGATCTGGTTTCTATTGCAGGGCTGATGGACATTTGCCTAACCCCTTCACTCAGCGAATTCTCCTCTGGATGCCCCATATTTGTATGGCTTTCAAAGGTGACGGAACCTCGTAGCCCAAGTGCCTCCCTGAGAACCTCATTTTCCGTGATTCGGTCGACTATGATGCGAACCTGATTTTCCACGGTGTCTCGTTCGAAGTATCGGAGATCCCATTCTGAGGTGATCGGGGTGATGAGCTGGCGGATATACTCAAGCTGATGTTTCGATGGAAACAGTTTTTCAGTCAAAAATGATGGATTATCATTGAGTCTCTCCCACACTATCATCTGCTCGTCAACGAAGGTGTCCCATAATGTGATGCGTGAAGGAACCCTCCGATTAGCTGGCTTTGTTACAGCACCCTTGGTTGTTCTTGTAGGGTTTGTCACGATGCGGATTGCGAGCAAAAGCTCATGACAGGCGTGAAGGAATTGTGGCAATGTTGTAGGCTTTGAATTTGCTTCCGCTTCTTCACGTTGTCGCCGCTCCTCCTGGCGGAGTTGTCTTTCCTTTTCCACCAGCGCTTTCGAATTTGCTTCCGCTTCTTCACGTCGTCGCCGCTCCTCCTGTCGAAGCTGCTTTTCCTTTTCCGACTGCGTTTCGGCGATTTCCCGCAATGTTCTCTCTTCTTCTCGTAGTCGTCTCTCTTTCTCGAGTTCAGCCAGTAGTTCTTGCACTCGGCTCTCCATTCTGGTAGCTGAAAGGGTAGGTTCTGCCAGTTCGCAGTGCGTGACAGATTCTATGAGAATCCAGCCACGGATTACCAAATAATCTGCTTGAGCTAGGGACAACTTGAAGTCTACGATAATTGCTAGAAGCGCTTAGAGAATGGGGAGAATGCTTGATCAAGGGTGTAAACATTCGAGATCACATGACGCGCCGGGCTCTGGCAGAGCGCGATGCCAACACATGGTTCCGTGAATGTCACGTGATTCATCCTTTAATATGTCCCCCAACTTCTCCAATTTGCAGTCTCCTCCACAAATACATGATTGGGTACCCCCTCATTATATTGTTGAGTATTGGGCTAGCCCAATTTCCAATCATATGGAATTATTGGAATCAAAAATTCTGTCGTGCTGCTTTTTGAACGGAAATGATGATCAGGCCACATGATAGCAAGGTGGGGGCAAAATTGTCAAATCAAAAGAGTGGAATTAACAATATGGTTGTTATTTCATCTTTTAGATCGAGTTTTCCTACTGGCCGGCATCAAGAGAAACAGGTTCAAAAACACCCTTTCCCTGCCCGGATATGCACCTTTCCTGTAGAGAAATTTGAAAAAGTTCCTCTGTAGGTCTGGAGTGAGATGGGAAGTTAAAAACGGCCACTTTCTACGGGAAAATTACAATAAGCAAGCTTCTAGAAAATAAACCCTAAATCTCATCTATGACTATATTCCGCCTATATGTTCCCAGTCAAAATATGTAAAGATTAAAATGCTGTGGGCGAATTCTCTTATTATGTATGAATTTTAATTTAAAATACAAATAATTTTTCCTTCTCCGTGGGTATGCACTCGGTCGTACCGACGCACGACATCTCTGCGATGGAAGTGAGAAGGCCAGTGATGCGAATGCAGTTAATGTTTTGATTGATGACTTTGGATGCTCGAGGGTAGAAGAAAGCGGAGGCAACTGACGGGGATAACGAAGCTCTGTTAAAGATTGGAACTTGCCGTATCATCCGCTGTTCTGGTGATCCAACAATCACTGGAATGCTCGGTTCGGGATACATTTTTGCCATGAAATGTCGCAAGCATTGGTCCGTAGGAAACTGGGTTTGAGACAAAACAATATACCTGCGGACTTGTTCTAAAATATTCTATCCATGGGCAGTGGGCCTGAAGCAAATGTTACTAGGTATCTCAACCTGATCGGACGCTAATTACCCAGTAGGTCCTCTTCTCAGCTCTCCGTGCAGGAGGGAACGTTTCGTTGCCATGATCATGTATTTTTCTATTCCACTATTGCTCCTGCATTCTGATGCGAGATGATGTAGTCTCCATATCTAATCTGTCTAATCTGTCTCCATCTTGTCTTCTCCATTCTCCATTTCTTCAACATGCCTCTTGACTCCATCCAAAAACGCACGAACAGCATCGCCTCCTCCCAGAGGAACCCCACCATGCCGCAAAAACCCGCCATTTTCCACTTTGATATTTAGCGCATCACTGATACTAGGCAGTCCGCCGTCACGCAGTGCAACCGTAAGACTACCTAGACTCTGCATAAATTGCGGGGATCGGAGAACTCTCCTGAGTATATCACGTTTTTGTTCCAGAGTTAAAACTTGCAATGCGGTTTTGGCGGCTTCGGAGTCTGTCTCGGCATCATTGAGTATTTCATCGATGTCTTGCGCAAGGAATAGTAATGAGGTGGGGAGGAAATTGAGAAGGTGGTCGATTGTTTGCAAGTCCGCTGATTCAATGAGGGGGAGCGTTGATGACGGGGAGAGCAAATCTGCAAGTGTTGTGAATGGATCTACGGCTGCTTCTGAGCTAGACCCTTGGTTTCCATGTTGGAGGGATCTGAGGAGATTCTGGACAACTGAGGATGGATCTGACGAGGAATTTGCGCTTTTTATGGCAGTCAGCGCCCGATAATAACATGTAACCAAGGGAAGGAAGTTGAAAAAAAAAAAAAAAAAAATGGGGTAGTGATTTTAATTGATGTTCAAAAAGACACAGAAATTGGCGTGTAATTTTATTTAAATGGTAGGATCGCATTGTCCAAGACAGGAATCACTCCTCATTTGTTTCCCATCCTTTTTTTTTTGGCTTTCTTCTCCGTTGTAGAGTTTCCAATGACAGATGTAGAGAGTTGTACCTACGCTCTTCCACCGTCCGCTCCACCTTCCCTCGATTCCTGTCCTTCTTCCCGAATATCTCCGCCCGTAGCATCTGGTCCTGCGCCACCGCTACCACCTCTTCGGTGAGTTGTATTGTGGTGTGCCCCTTCGACATCCTCCATTGTCTCATCGCCATCACCTCCGCCGCCATTATTGTTCCTTGGGAGGTTAGCGATGGCTCCCTGAACATCGATTTCCTCACCCTGTAGTAACGTATTTACGATTCGTCCTAGCTCTAGGTCTCTTGTGCTGAACCAAGCCGGGTTCCCGTTCCGATGTTGGTTTGCCGACTGCAGCCAGAATAGATGTCTTTGAGAGCTTGAGGAGAATTTCAAGACAAATACTCTTCCGTTGGTGGGTCTGTTTGGGTTGGAATGGTTTTCAGCATTTGTGGGTTTGTACGGGGTAAAAGTGCCATCGGATGGGACCATGACTAAGTCTAGCTCCGGTTCGTTGAGCGAAGCAGAGCGTGGACGCCAACAAAAGTGTACCAGATCATCTTCTGTATAAAGGTAAATGTAGCCTGGAGTTGGTTTTGGTTTTACTCTGGGTGGAGTAACTGAGGTCTGTATGGTGGGGGGAGAGTCCGTTAGATTGTGACTTGGGGGTAGTAGGTGTTTGGCTCCCTCCCTGAACCTCTAAAATCTGGGGACCTATTGGGGTAACTAGAATAGTAAAACTAAAATGACTTACGTCAAGATCGCAAATGCCTGCTTTGAAGGTGATGATGGGTGCTATGGGCATGGCTGCTGTGGAATGAACTTTTGGAGTATAATCCAACAGTGGAGGACACGGGAAATAGGTGAGGGAAGTGGGAGGGAGGGAAGGTCTAGGAGCTATTTGCTAAATAGTATCACCATATATAAGCGGGGATCAGATATGATTTATTAGATACATTGATGGGGTTTCAAGTTGCTGGTGACGTTGGTTTTTTGGTGATGTTGAATG